TGGCCAGGTCTCACTCGAATAACCACACTGCGAGATAAAGAAGTCGGCACTGGAGTAGGCTGGCACATATCTCTATTGGAAAAAACGATAATGAAAGCTATTAGAGTAGCACTCCCAGCGTGGCGTACCACTCCCAGCGTGGCGTACCACTCCCAGCGTGGCGTACCACTCCCAGCGTGGCGTACCACTCCCAGCGTGGCGTACCACTCCCAATGTTGCTCTTCATCGTGAAGCGGGAATAACCCCGGCATCGATAATTCTTCAGCAAAAGATGCTGCGGTCTGCAGCTCGTATGCGAAGAATGGATGCCTGGCACCCTCTAGCCATTCGGGCGGCTGAGGATCCGAAAGAGACAATAAGACGCTTAGGTCTTAGATCGGGACAAAGAGATCGATTGCTCAGACAACCAAAACGGTACATGACACGCCTACAAATGAGTGTGCGTCGAGTTCCGACAGCCGAAGGCCCCGGAAAGCTATACTTCCCACGTGGCACTCCAGCATTGATTCCATGTAGTCGAGAAAATGAAGCTAGGTCTGGAAGCATAAAGCGGTGGTTAGCTTCCCGCCCAGCTAACACAGTCTTCGCTTTCTCTGATGGATCATCATCGGGTCCCGGAAAATCATCCTGGGGGTATGTAGTATACCAAGGAGGTAAGCTAGTTGCAAGTGGCTCCGGTCCACTTCCCGGAGCAGAGGTATTTGATGCAGAAGTTGTAGGTGCCATGAAAGCCTTGAAGGCTGCAATAGAGGTAGGAAAAGACTTACTGATCTGCATTCTTCTGGACAACCAAGCGGCCACCCAGGCGCTCGAAAGAGGAAGATCTAACTCCTCGCAGTCGGTGGTGGACAAGTTTTCATCGTTGAGACACAATAAGCGTGTGGAAATACGCTGGATACCCGGGCATGTGGGGATTCAAGGCAATGAAGAGGCCGATAAGCTGGCCAAATCAGCCTTGGGAGCTTCCAATAACCGGTCACTGACCTCAGCTGCGCCCATTCTAGAAGATCAAGATCTAACATTTGCGGCATTAGGGAGGTGGGTTAAACAGCGTAGCCAAGAGCTTGTGGAAGAGTGGTGGCAGAAGTATCGACCGAAACAATACAAAGATCTGGACCTATTCATGTGTTGCAAAAGACCACCGGAACTAGCTTTACCAAGATGGGCGTACCATTGTCTTATTGCGGCAAGAACAGGCCACGGGGACTATGCCGACTACCATCGACGTTTCAACCCCGAACATGAAGATCTGAAATGCGTTTGCGGCCGAGAGAAAAGGCCCTGGCACTTTTCAGAGTGCCGACCTGCGTTGCAACGTTGGAGAATCTATGAGAAAATGGCCCCACCTGGGGCCAGAGAAATGATAGGGGAGAAGGGATGGCAGAAGTTCATTCAATTCTTAACTACAAGCCGATGTTACAGTCTGCCGAAGAATGAACAGGGTGGGAGGTGACCACGCTGAGATTGTTTCTGACCCGAGAGTAGATGGGTGTGGAAGATAGGGATGCGGCGCAGGGCACCGTAACTCAAACACATACTGTTCTTTTTTTTTTTTTTCACTCTTTTCTTTTGTCGCTTCTGGCCCCACTGCCGGTCATGTAGGTAGCAATGAGCTTTCAGAGCCCATCTACCCGTGTCACGTCTAAATAGATGTTAGGTTCTTCCTGTCACGTAAAAGATTTCAAATTCAAATTCAGCCACCAAACCCACCGGCAAAGACGAATTCATCTCCTTCCAGTTGTGCCGGTGAAATCGCTCAGTAAGCTCTGCATATCTCGAAAAGCCGAGAAGAATCGAAGTCGAAAGTAAACACATGCATATCTCCATTTGACGACTTCTCAATCATGCAGCATTCACCATTATCTTCTGAGTCCTCAACCTCTATCTAACCACACATCATCTCGCCTCGACGACCGATAAAGGCGTCGCCCCAATTGCAAAAAGGAGCTTGCCTCAACCGTTACCGGCCATCACTCAATACAAATTTACGATGCTATGTATACCTATAAGGAGGAAATTAAGTCATAATATACATAGTTGGGGTCTTGGTTTATGGGGGACTGATGCTCTAATGGGGTTATATATCTTGAGGAAGGACAGGCGGCTGAGACCCGGCGCGAGAGGGGGAACAGATCTCTGAAGAACATGCTGGCACCAACGTTCTCGAGGAGTTTTCAACTTTGGAAAGTTTGTGGGCGCCAAGACTAAGATTTCGGCTAATTAGCCAGGAGGGCTTCTTTTATCGATGAGTCAACGGCACTCCCCACCGCCCTGAACAGCACAAACAAAGGCAGGCTAAGCTATCAAACAGCAATCACACTCTGTCAAGACTTTTCTGACACTTCAGCACGACCTGTGGGAAGGAGTTGGAAGGATGCCAGAAAGGTAGAGTGTAAAGTCTCCGAGGTACCCACAAGTCTGCAGCGTCCAGCTGGTTGGCCTCTTTGAACGCATCAAAAGGATCACTATATCTTCGGACTTAGTCCTAATGTCAGTATTAGAAGAGCCCCGCACCCAGTGGTTTTTCCAGTTTTTTCCGGCTGCCATACACCCGCTAATGGTCATTGTTTTGTTGACCGGATTTCATGGATAAACGTGGCGGAAACTAGGATGGTGTCTCATGGTGAGTTCCATGCCAAACCACAACTCGGTGTTAGATTGAGTTCCTAAACAATTAGGACAGACTCAGGAACATAGAGTCTTTTCACAGAGATTGCGTAGCAATACTGTTGGAGACAGAGCTTAGGGCTGTCTCATTATCCGATGTACATATATACCCAGCGTGAAGGAGTATTCTTCACGCAATTTCTTCTATGTCTACTTATACATATTGTTAACATACTTATCTATTCTCTAAAGAAGACCGCCGTTATTGTACCGACCTCGCTTGTTGCTCACTTTACCTTTATCTCTTCTGTGAACCCTATACCTTACGCTAACTTTATACCTCCTCCTCATAGGAATCACCACTATACCCCACACCTATATTGTACTTGTACCCTACTCGTACCCTACGGAATATTGTCGGTACATGTTGGAGTTTGGAGTCTTTAATCATATGATGTAATGTTTACGTAATTAGAAATACTTAATATAACTACTTTCAAAGCTTAGATAGAAGAACAGAACCAATTGCAATACAGTCATCGACAGTGCTGTATTTGGAACCCTGGTGATTCCAACACTAATTAGTGATATCACAAATTAGGAGACCGGAATTAATCAGACCAATCAGTAACGAACTAGGTATTGCACCTCTTTCATGGTGACAGATTAAGAAGAAAGATTCTTGCCTCAGTTGGTATACATTTGAAGAGTTGAAGTTCAAGGTATCGCACTCTGTACTTCATCTATGATCAATCAATCTACGTAAGTTCACAAAGCGACATCGACCTGCTCTAAGCACCCAAAATACTCAAGATGTCTGACAAAAAATCCACTGGATCTGCCCTTATCAACACAGAAGACCCATCATGTCTGAAAATCAATTTGAGCCTGGCTTCCTCCGAAGACCTTAGACACAACGCCAGTACCAAATTTCAGTTTTACACCGACGAAGACGCGTTTGATGACGATCTCTACAGCCTATTCCATTACGACTTCGCCGGCTGCCAATCTTCTCACTTCGAACATTGCGGACTCCGTCTTGCCCAAAAGTTAAGAAAGCTCCTTCGTCAAAGTGGTATCTACATCCCGAAATCAAAATCGGACGAAGTGTTTAACGACTTGGCAAACGCCCTAAAGTTTGATTTTGAACAATGGACAGAAGACCAAATACCGAACGCCTTACAAGAAGATTCAACATTTTCATTCACATCGCCAAACATATCATGCAAAATTAATTTCAATCCTGATCTCTACAAAATTACATACTATAACCGTCAAAAGAAGATCACAAATATCCCACCTCCGCCATCAACTAGCATCAGCAACACGACAATTTCAGCTTTCGCTCCTCCTAATAGCAACTACCCTCAACCAAACCATGTCCAGAATTCATTCACAAACATGCCTTAACCTCCGAGACCAGACAAAATTCCCACTAACAACAAAGCCACTTCTTTTCATTGATACAGTGATACCAATGACATTAGCCGCCAACTTCAAATCCTGTCAAATTGGAGCGTAGGCGTTTGACTTGAAGCGGAATTGAAGGGCGAGAAGAGGTTGGATGGATCGCCAGGGATGACTAAAGATCCACTGGAGATAATTTGGAGAACTAAAGGTTTAAAAATGGGTAATATAAGTGTCTAAAGAGTCTAAAGGTACGAGCAAATACTAGTGGTGACTAAAGGTGCTAAAGGTAACTAGAGGTGACTGTAGTTGACCAGAGGTGATCTGAAGGTGGTGGTTGTGACAGAAGACTAAGCGTAAAGAACTGTATGCCTACAGACCAAACCATTGTATATATACCTGCCCTCCTTCCACTAACTCATCATAACATAGACCTTAACATAATATCATCATGATACCATGTGCCAAGAACTGTCCTGTTGTCATAGCAACATATGAAGAAAGGTAAAATTATATCCTGAAGAAAGGATCGGAAGAGGAATCCTTACAAAACCTGTCAAGATCCTACACCAATGAAATAAAGTACGCAGGTATGTATGATAGTTTGGATTACAAAGTTTCAATCTTCTATGAGCTCTGTGGCCGAAATGGAATAACGCAGGAGTATTATACTAAAGCGTTCTCAACAATGCTCAAAGGAATAGCAGCCGACTTCTACTATTCAAATCTTAGCTGTTTACCCCCTACCTTTGAGGGCCTATATCAAATGATGAAAACAAACTTTGAAGGTGACAAGTACCATCAGCGCATCTTGAACAAATGGAACTCGCTCACTTTACGAAATTTAATTCAACAAAATCCCCAGCATGACACCATCACCTGTATGGAAATGTTGGCTCAATCTTTACAAACCCTACAACACAGTCTAGACCCCGAGTTTCAAAAGGATAAATTTATACAATTCAAAATAATTGCTACATGTAAAAATGTATCTGCTTGCAAACAGGCATGCCTCACCCCACCCCCAACTTTTTCCGCATTTCTCAATTGTCTACAATCATCTATCACATTTTATGACAAAATTTATCCTAAATCCTCAACAGGTGTCTTCTACACAGACCGTCAATTCCACAGGAATGATCCTCAAGGGACCACGCCTCGTGAAAAATCACGGGGTTGCAGCAACACCAGATACCACAACAACAATCGCTACCCTTCTAAATCCAAATATCCCTCCAGACACCGATCACCAAGCTCCTCCAAATCATGTATTGTCTGCAACAAAGAAGGCTGTTGGTCCAACAAACACTCAAAAGCTGAGCGTGAAGAAGCCTTTCAGCAGCTTCAAAACCAAAAGAATAAGTATAACAAAAGATACACCCAATTTGTTGCTGAATGTGGTCAGTCAGAATCAGCCATCCCCGAATCAATTCATTTAAGCCAACCTATGTCCGACCTCGACCTCCCTGACTCCGAGGAATTCAACGAAGTTTATTTCACCAGGTTCGGGCCTATCAACAGAAAGATATACCTCACGGAACTCAACAATGAAGCCTCCCTCTACGCCTTAACCAGTTCTACTAGCAACTTCAAAACCAGAAATCTCTTAATCTGCTACGGTGATCGTGAATTTTTCGGCATCATGATTGATACTGGTGCTGCCAAGAAATCCACTGTCGGACACAGCCAATTCTTAGCCTTTCAGAAGATCACCAACATTCAACTCGACACTACAACTGCCGGAGCTGCGAAAATCTAATTTGGCATAGGGAACACAACTTCAATTGGCTCCATAGTTATTTACGCTCCCTTTGGCTCGGTTGAATTCAACGTACTTAATGCTGAGATACCCTTTCTACTTAGCATCGCCGACGTGGACATTCATGGCGTCTATTTGGATAATATCGACAACATACTCGTCGATTTAGACACCCGTTTCTCCTCTGGAAAACACGCCTACCTTCAACAACTTACAAACTCGGCCAAGATTGCTTCCTTACATATACTGAGCTCTGCCGACTCCATCGCCGCTTTGGGCATCCAGCTGCCCATCGCCTCCAACGACTGCTAGAGCGATCTGGTCACGATGATGTTAACTATGAAGAAATTCGAAAATTAACTCGCTTCTACAAAAAGTGTCAAAAGTTTGGAAAATCTCCCGGCCAATTTAAATTCAAACTTCGTGACAAGATAAACTTCAACCATGCAATTCTTATTGATATCATGTATATCAATAATAATCCAATCCTGCATATTATTGACAAAAGCACCAGGTATCAAGCTGCTCAATGGCTTTGTAACATGACCTCCGAGCACATATGGGATACGCTATGCTACGCATGGTTAAATACATATCAAGGACCTCCAGATTATGTGATTACCGATGCCGGAAAGAATCTTGTCAGTAAAAACTATGTCCAAAGTGCAGCCACCATGGCAATAAGGACAAAAACTGTGCCAGTTGAGGCCCATTGGTCAATTGGAATAGTCGAACGTTACCACCATGTTTTGCAACAGGCATATGAAACAATAACTCATCATATGTCCGGCACAAACCTAAACAAAAACATGCTACTTCAAATGGCAGTCAAGGCAGTCAATGATACAGCTGGACCGGATGGTCTTGTTCATACTCTTTTAGTGTACGGGACTTTTCCAAGAATGACCGAGCTAGATCCCCCGGACCCTTCCATAACACAGCGAGCAGCGGCTATACGTAAAGCCACGGAAGAAATCAACAAGTTTCGCACTAACCGACAAATAAAAGAAGCTCTAAGCTCTCGCAATGGTCCATCAACAGTGGCGATTCACGACCTACCACTCAACTCAGATGTCCTTGTCTGACGAGAAGGCAACGTTAACAAGAACAGCAGGTGGACTGGACCCTTTCCACTTCTTGGCATCAACAGCGAAACTTGCTCCGTACATCTCCTCAGTGGTCCTACTGATTTCCGCAGTATAGTTGTCAAACCATCCCTAATTGACAACGCTCCAGAAGAACCTAACTTACCTGATGCGACCTTACAAAATCCAGAAGCTCATCTATCTCCCTCTCCAATTTTGCCACGTCCTGCAACACCTCCACCCTCCATCGAACCTCGTAGACAACTCCGATCCTCCATCAAATCTCGCATAAGAATAAAGCTATCTGAAGCAGATCAAAACATCTCATCCAATTATCCGGACCTTATATTCAAAAGCAACGTTCTGGATTCACTAACCCTTCCTCCAGATATTACAGAAATCCCTACACCATCATTTGAAGAATCAAGGCGAATAGAAATTAACGGACTATCAGAAAAAGGAACTTTCAAAGTTGTTCATGTCAATAATATCTCGCCTGAAACCAGAATATTCAACACTAGATTTGTGTATGAAATTAAACATCTGGGAACTGAAAAAGCCTTTGAAAAATCTCTGTCACAGTTCGAATATAGAAAGCAATTGGGCATTTGTATGATTGAAAGGTAAAGCTATAATTCATCTATGGAGAAGCAAACTACCTGCAAGTCTCCCGTACTACTTAAACACATCTAGAGCTATCTAAATATAGCCTAAGTTTACAGTGGCAATGAAACTGACTAAAGGTTTGTTCTACCGCACAGGTAACGCTTCCAATACTCTTGGCACTATCCTTTACATAGCCTCGGTGGCGATTACGTATCTGTTTTAGTCTGCTGGTAATCCTCAGAGTGATAGAACATATAGGTTGCCTTCTATAGCCATCGAAGGCTACAGGACTTATCGGCTCACAAGCCGTCACAATCTCGATTAGTTGTTCAGGCCTACAATAATGATGGCAAACATACGATTCTGACCCAGTCACCTACAATCCAACGTTCCAGCCAGAGGCTCGTCCTTGCTCTCGCTGCTATCATACAAAAGGATGACGTCGGTTTGTATCTACGTGATATTTCCCAGGCATATGTTCAGTCAACCACCAATCTAAATTGCAGATTTTACGTTCGTCCCTCCGCTGAAATCAAGTTACCTCCCGGTACTGTATGGCAAGTGCTTAAGCCTGTCTTTGGGATACCAGAAGCTGGTAAGCATTGGTCTAACACATATCATTGGCATCATGTGGACAAACTCGATATGTCCCCTTCAACCTATGATCCTTGCTTACTCCACAGTAATGGACCATATCTTGGAATAGTGGGCCTGCAAACAGATGATACAATGTTTGTAGCCGATAACAGTTTTGCATTCAAAGAATATCAAGCACTCAAAAATGCCAAATTCTTAGCTAAGGATCGGGAAAATCTCGCGCCATTATTGCCTCTTAAATTTAATGGTGAAATGGTAACACTAGACAAAGGCTCAATAATTCTAAAACAATCTCGGCAAACTTCAAACCTGTAGCTCGTCGAAACTTTCAAAGCTGAGCTGTCAGGTACTGTCAGGATTGCCTTCTGTATAATCTATATATGTGGAGATAACCAGAATCTAGTGTTCTATGATTCTGGTCTGGCCTTTTGGCCGAGTGGCTGTGCACCTATCTCATGCATAATGTAGGATAGCGCCCTTTAGCCTGAATACCACCTCTTTGACCTATGTCTCCGCCCTGCTGCCTATATGCTGCTCTGATAGGTACCAAGGGGAAAGTACAAAAAGGTGTTACTCCGAAAGATTAATATATTGCTCATTGTGCGCGCGGCACATACATCGCTAGTATATGTCAACCAGAAGCCTCTATCAATCCATCTTTTGCTGCCCAGATTGTTAATCCAAAGGAAGAAGATGCAAAACTCCTCAATAAGAGATTAAAATGGCAAATTGACAATTCTGAACGAGGAATAAAAATTGTCAAACTTGATATAAATACTTTGAGGATAATTGTTTTCACCAATGCGTCTTTTGCTAACAACGCAGACCTGACATCTCAAATTTGCTACGTGATAGTACTAGCAGATGACAATAATGATGCTAATATCATTCACTAGTCCTCGGTCAAATGCAAACGTATAACCCGTAGTGTTCTTGCCTCTGAACTCTACGGGAAGGCGCTGTGACGGCTTGTAAGCCGGTAATTGCCTGTAGCCTGCGCTGTCAAACGCAGGCTTAGCATGAAACTAGGCAGGGACTATTCTTGGAACCAGGGTCTTACAACTTGGCAAACACCTCTAAGAATAGGGCACGAGAAGGGATACGAGATGGGATACAAGATGGGATACAGATATACAGATAAAAAACTGTGTCATTGGCCTGGATAATAATCATGTATAAAGTAACTGTTATTTTCCTCTTCAATCTGTAGTTCACCATAGATTGAAAATAAACTACCTCTGACCATAAGGTTGCTCAAGTGCCTATGCTTAGACTGTGACAGGCGCTAGGATTTGACATTAGCTCCGCTATCAAAACTACCCTCAGTAAAATGCTCAATAGACCAATCCCTCTGATTATTTGCACCAATTCAAAATCCCTCTTCGACTGTCTAGTAAGACTAGGCACAACCCGAGAAAAAAGACTGATGATTGACATTATGTCTCTCAGGCAATCTATCACGGGCAGTAATTTAGTCTTCGGGGTAATATATTTGTAGTTGCATAAAGGAGAAGCTAAATGGTCTACGGAATCTACATGTACGCGTGCTCACCCAGTTGCCACGCTAGTGGTATCACCATGCCAACGCTAGTACCCGTGACACTACCTTCTCGCTAAACAAGAGAAACACTCTTATATCTTGTAACAGAAAATTAATTTATCTGCGTTATAGCCATGGCCTTAGTGGGCCTGAATGTTGGTTTGCATCATGAAATTCCTATAGTGCGTCATCACATCCTTTTAAATGGGAAGCTGGCTCCCATGAAGAAGAACCATCCGACCATTGTACTTGATAGTACCAGCGTTTGTTTACCATTTGGTTATATCCTGTAACTTTATCAAATTGCCACTCCACCACGTCTTCTTGATTGTCAGTTCTTACAACCACCCTATCATAGTTGGCCCTAATATCTTCGTCCTGCTGCCCAGGGGCTCGCTCGTGTGGGCGCAATTAAACTTTTGATACGTGAAATTTTGGGAAGATTTTGATATTTTTTGGTAGGTCAACTGTAACAGCGTGCGGTGATACTTTAACCACTCAAAAGGGGCCTTGCCAGCGTGGATTTAGCTTATTAACAGGTCGTCCCATATTCCAGTTTTACGTGCTAGCCATAACTTCATCTCCCACAAAAAATCTTGGCACATCCGTATGTCAAACATTTGAATTACTTTTATATTGATCTTGAGCAATTTTTGACATAGTTCTAACATGGTCAAGAACAGTTTTAAACCAATTGGTTATTTCATGGGCTTTAAAGTATTCTTGTTTTTGTGAAGATGATAGTGTGGATACTGCAGGCGTCTGAGGCTCAATGCCGAGTCTTGGATTGTAACCGTAATTAGCAAAGAAGGGGCTTACTCCTGTGGTAGAAGAAACTGAATTATTACCCGCAAATTCGGCAAGTGGAAGCCACAAAGCCCAGTTGTCTTGCGCCCAATTTACGTAAACTCTCAAAAATTGTTCTGCTTCGGCGTTGATACGTTTAGTTTGACCATTTGTCTCCGGATGATATGCAGAAGAAGGTTTTAGTGTGGTTACTAATCTTTGTGATAAAGCTCTCCAGAATGCCGAAATAAATTGAGTCCCTCGGTCAGACACAATTCGTTCTGGTGACCCATGTAGAAACCAAACTTTTTCAACAAAAGCTTCTGCTAGTTCTTCAGTCTCCAGAGTTTTGGTTGTGATAAAATGTCGCATTTTAGTCAACCAGT